CATTACGGTATTAACGTCTCTTTACCGTTTAAATAGCAGTCTGATAATGTCGTTTCTTATTGAAGATTACCTGTTGTTTTCGTGTTCGTCCGAGGTTTAACAAATTTGCTAGAAACAGATGTGAAAGATTCGAAAATGTTTCGGTCGATGCTTTAGTTCAACAAGAAAGTCATCCTTAGCCTTAAGCCTATACGCGTAATTGGTATGAGACAATATTTTGGCAAGATTAAGGTGAATTTTTTACAAATTAACTAAAGCACATTCTCTGCCTGGATTAGAACCCTATCTGCTTATGGACGAAAACCTTTCGCAGATCTTCTTCATTTCTTAATATATCCCGAAACTTTTAAGTCAGACCTTATTTTAAACTTTACGCTAAAAGGTAACTCACGGTCAAACAAGAACTGTATTATTACTGTTTATATTACAAATGCATACACTACGAGATGCATTTAAGTGATGCTTTGTTAGTCGTTGAGTTATGGTTTAAAAGCGTACCTACATTTATTATAGGTAGGCGAAGCAGAAAAGCTAGTGAAGGCGATGTTTTTGCTTGCCAGAAAGGTTCAACCCGCCATCATTTTCATTGGTTTGTCGCAACATGTCTTTCGTTTATACATGCTAGAAATCGCATTAATTTCTAGATGAGATCGACTCTATCCTTCGAGAACGTTCCGGCAGCGATAGCGAAGTGAGTCGGCGACTAAAGACCGAGTTCCTTGTTCATTTCGATGGGGTAAAACAACAAGAAGCCTTGTACGACTTTTATGAGATCCTTTCAGGTTGGAAGCGATCCGTCAGACAGACTGTTAGTGATGGGCGCTACGAACAGACCATATGACCTAGATGAGGCCGTTCTGAGGTGAGGTTAAGGAGAGTCAAGATTGTCGATCGCTGCTAAACTTTCTTAGCAATTTTCAGACGCTTTCCCAAACGGATATACGTCGGCTTGCCAGAGCTCAATGATAGGATTCTGCTTGTAGAACGACTACTAAAAGACCAGGTGAACTGTATGACTGAAGCCCATATTCGAAGGGTAGCCGAAAAGACCGACGGTTACTCGAATAGTGATCTAAAGAATTTAGCGAAGGAAGCCGCGATGGGGCCTTTAAGAGGTAACTATTCTTCAGCGTAATTCATGTTCGAACGTGATTTTTGACACGGTGCTCACCTTTACGATTTAGTTGCGCCTGCACAGTTGTTAGTGATGTAATTTGTTTGCTTTTATTTCTGTTATATTTGATAATCTCCTATCACTTCTCATGATTTATACGGTGCAGTCACACCGTTCCTTCGCGTAGTCTAGAAGATTGTTTACATAGCATAGTTTAACAGCGCCATGGTGTTTTTTAGTCAATTTTTCGTTG